GGTTACTGGTCTGTAGTTTTCTTTCAGTGTCTCTGTCTGGCTTTGATATCAGCATAATACTTGGCCACTACCCCTTTTCCCAYAAAAGTAGTAGCAGATTGTATTTTATAAAATACTTGCCTTACTTATTAACTTCTTTTTATGTTCTGGGTGCTATGGGAATTACTTGCAATCTATTAACTCATCCAATCCTTCCCTTGAGCCTGTGAGCCAGGACTATGATGGTCCACACTTTGCAGGTGAATACCCTAAGATTTAGTGGGATAAGGAATTTTCTTTCCCAGTAGCACATGGGCAGCAAGGGGCATAACTGAGGTTTCAGCACAGGCCTGCGGGAAACAAAAGCCTGGTGTCTTRGCCATGGGGTTTGACAATCATTCAATGTGTGGGGCTCCCATCTCCTGACCTGACTCCCAAGTTATGTGCAGGTAGCAGGTCACGTTTGGGGATGAGACTCCTTGTAAGCCCATCCTCACATAACCATCAAAATGGGGTTAGGAGATCCTGATCTCTTCTCCAGAGATCCTGATCTGTTACCCATGTTTGAGTTTTGCCCCGGATGGCATCTCTGCAGAGTGGCACAGGGCTTCCACTGGCAGCTGTCTCTCTGCTGCCCTAAACAAGGCAGCTGACCTGTCCCAGGCCTGTCCACCTATTGCACACAGTTGGCCTATTGCACCAGATGCCCTGGAGACCAGGACTTGACTCAGACACAAGACGACTTCGGTCTCCGTATCACACTGCTGATATCTGGTCCACCTGGATCAGCCAGGGCCAAGGCGCAGGATAGCTCTGACCACTCCTTTTTGAGGGGTCATCTTGTGGGTCTACAGGTGGAGCAGGAGGAGCAGGTGGGGTAGTGGGGTGATCTGGGGCCTGTTTGGGCTCTGTGATCTGCTCAGATCCACATACTCTGGAGGACTAAAGCAAGAACCTCTGTCACTGTAAGCATCWCCTTCTCTCAGGGTCTAGTGAAAATTATACGAGGCTTTGAGAGCCACCCAATCCTCCCTSATCTCCATCAACTTAGCCCTGCTTCTCCTATTCAGTGAAATGACTCCTATGAAGGGTCCATTTGTCCCTCCTCTTTCCTCATTTGCTTCCACCTATCCACCCACCCACCTATCCATCCACCTACTCATCCATCCCATCTACCTATCCATCCATCCACCCATCCACTCACCCATCCATCTATCCATCCACCCATCCATCCATTCATCTGTCCATCCGTCTATCCACCCACCCATCCATCCACCCATCCACTCATCCATCCACCCACCCATCCATCCACCCATCCTTCTATCCCAGCAACCAGTGATAACCCAGTTCCTCCTTTCCCTACTCAAGTTCCTGTATAACCCTCTCCTCTACCCACCCATCTGTCTGTCCTAGCCCCTGGCCATCCAGCTCTTATTCACAGAGTCAGGGTGTGAGGCCCACAGACAGAGGATGACACCATCTCTATGGGGGCATTTAGAGCCCAGTGGCAGGCAAAAATCACACGGACCAAAATATACTATTACCTTTACACACAAATTGTTAGGGGAACCCAGAAAATAATTACATTATGACTGTYGGGGGACTGGGACAGTTTCTCAGAAGAAATCATGAAAAAGTTTTGAAGGATGTGTAGAGTTTGTTAAGTGTGGGGAGGGGTGAAGTTCAGAGTTAGGAAAGGGAAGAGAATTCCAGACCCAGTGAAAATCAGTGAGGTTGGGCGGAGCGTGATGGTAGAGTATACGAGGGTCCAGTGGGTTWGGTTTGGACGGCCTGTGTGCACTGAGGATCTGAAGATGGGCCTGGAAGGCAGCTGACGATCAGATAATGAAAGGTCCTGTGTATTTTTTTTTTTTTTTTAATATTTATTTTTTAGTTCTCGGCGGACACAACATCCTTGTTGGTATGTGGTGCTGGGGATCGAACCCGAGCCGCACGCACTCCAGGCGAGCGCGCTACCAGTTGAGCCACATCCCCAGCCCCAGGTCCTGTGTATTGACCAAGGGAGACCAGGGAACGCACTGGAGCAGAAGACACACACTGCCCCACTTTTATGGGCAGACTTCARTGGTGGAAAGGGCAGGTGGGAGGGCACAGAGGCTGCAGGCTGGCAGAGCAGCAGGAGCCTGTCTGTAGCCAACGACGAGGCTGAGCCAGGAAGGAACGGGCAGGAGCTCTGGCCACCGAGATGCACAGGTGACCTGGGAGAATGTGATGGGAGAGAAATAATAGCTGGGAAAACAGAGATAAGTTACTGGTGGGGTGTCTGTTTCCCAGGGGTGCTCTGTTGTGAAAACTCAGCAGGTTGCAGACGCGCGCGCGCACGCGTGTGTGTGTGTGTGTGTGTGTGTGTGTGTGTGTTCGTGAGGGCTGCAAACAGCAGATCTGACATTGAAGATTCTCATCTGGGCCTCACCCAGGACACTGAGTGGCTCTCAGAGCTTTTCTTATAAACTGAGAGCTCAGCCCTTAGTTCTTAGTTTAAAAGAAAAAAGAGGAGGGAGACCCTCTAACCTGGGATCGAGCCAGGGCCTCTGCGCTGTCCTCTGAGCTTGGTCCAGCYGGAGACTCGGCTTCACAGCAAACCTGCAGATCTATGCCTCCTGTGGATGAAGCTGTATTTTGTGGATTTTCAGGCTTTTTGGTTTGTTTGTTTGTTTGTTAGTTTTTACATTTTAATATCTCTGAAACCGTGCTGCATCAGACCAAAACTGATATGGTATATAATTAGATTAATTGGCAGTATTAGGCTGCYTAACATGCTGGTGTGACTGCAGTCCACCAGGCTGACATCCAGGAGACAGGACACTGCCCTGCTCTGCCACTATCCCTACTTGACCCTCTGATCAGTGAGAAATTGGGCTGGGACCCAATTTCCCAGGTGGGAAAACTTCCCCTGGCCCTCGGTCTTTCCACAGGGCCTCTGGTCACCCAGCACCCATCCCCCCTCTGGGTCCTAATCCCCCCCCCCCCCAGGGACCTGGGCTGGAGCTGCCAGCACCCGGGGTGGAGGGGCTGGAATGAGATCTCAGGAAAGGGGAAGAAATGCCCAGGCCCTGGCTTCCCTCACACAATGCAGATGTGCTTAAATGGGAACCAGGATTAGCGCTGGGTCGCCTCCTGGCAGCCTGGTAATCACCTAATCCCCTCTCCACTGCAGGGAGGCAGGATTCCACCCGAACCCAGAGAGAGCAGGAGGCTGGGGAGCGCCAGACCTGAAAAGTAATTTTGTTAGCGACGGGTCTTGCCCACACCTCCTGATCTGCAGCCCCCAGCTCCTTCCCAGCGTGGCTGCGGCCTTTAATTTCGTTAATGTGTGACATTCACCCAGGCTGCGGGGCTGACGGGCATGCTTGACATTAATACGCGTCCCGCGCGGTCCCTGGAGCTCATAAAAGCTGATTATCAGTTCTGAGCCAGTAAATGCAGTTCCCAGCTCAGGTGGGCCTGAGTGCCTCTGAGATGCCCCGGGCAGCAGAGCAGTGGACATCTGCACAAGCCAAGTGACAAACGCCTCCCTTTGCCAGCCACTGCCACGCAGCAGGGGAAGTGACCAGGAAAGCCCTTCTGTAGGCAGAGCCCCGGGTCCAAATTTACCACCCAGCTGAGAGGCCCTTTTGCCCTGTGATTTGCTGTGAACCCATCCAGCATTTGAGGAAGCCACGTGTGGCACCTCTCCAAACGAGGTGTGGGCACCCGATCGTGGCAGCCAGGTCCCAGTGGCCCGGAATGGACACACCCCACGTAGCACTGTGACCAATGAACGGTCAATAGATTTGGTCCACACGCGCTGTGGGATCGTTGCCGCTAYGGAAAAGACTCAGGGACATGGGAAGGTTTCCACTCCCGGGTGCCCAAGGCTCATCACCACCGATGCCTGGCACGTAGAAGGAGCGGGCTCAGATCCGGAGGTGGAAACCACGCCTCTGCGGGCCAGGCCCACGTAGGCGCATGCAGACACGGATCTGATCGGGTGGGAAAGTCTGCAAAGTCCCATTCCAAAGGACATTCTGCTAAATAGGGTGGGTGGGTGATATGAGAATGATGTGTGTGTGAGGGGGTGGCTGGCGCAGCCTGGCTGGGCCACTGAGGCACAAATGAAATGGTGTCCCGCCCTCTGGCCCAGCCCTGCTTCCCCTCTGTTGACCGTTCTGGGGACCTTCCTGTGGGGGCGCGTGGATGTCGGGGACCCCGCTGCAGGGGTGGCCCTGCGGCAGGTTGGCTGGCGGTGGCTGGTGCCCGGCCCCGTTACCACCTCCTCCGAGCTCCCGTCCTCTTCCCTAAGGCGGAGGGTCTTTCTCGGGGTTCTCCACCTTATCATCAAAGCGACGTGAACTTGACCCTGGACTCCTCCTTTGGCCTTGCGCAGTCATCCTCGCTGCCGAAGGACCTGGGCCGGGAGGGCCTGGCTGTGGGCTGCCTGTTGCTTTCTTGGCTGTCTGAGATGGTGCTGGTCCCGGCTGCTGGCCTGAGCCTCAGCGGGCAGCTGTGAACTGGATCTTTCCCCTGCGACCTGGGAACTTCCCCTCAAAGAGACAGAGGACTCCGTCTGGGGCTGAGTTCTTTACCACCCAAGACCTTTGCTCCCAGGGCTTCTCCCTCCCACACGGAGAGCGGCATTCATTAGGCGCCGACGGGTGCTCTGTGGTTTTCACGACTCAGAGAGCCCTGTTTCAGCCTGAGGAACCGGAGTTCCCACACCAGGGTGTGGAAGTTCTAGCTAGAGGCGAAGGGACGCAGGGGACGTGTGATGTCCACTGTCATCCTGGATGCCGGGGGCTCCCCTGGGAGGACTGGAAATGCACCCCAGTCCATGGGCCCTGGGGACATCCCTGGGAGCCCTGGGGAGGCTGGGTGCTGAGGTCTGGCTTCCCGTCCCCGTCTGCTTTCTGCACCTCAGAGAATGGGAGCAGGGGCCTGGGGAATGGGAGCCACAGCTGGGCAGAAGTGGTGCCAAAGCCACAAGCCTCACAGAGCCTGCCTTTCTCTCTCTTCTCCCTCAGGACTTTATCCTGAAGCCATCAGCAGAAGGAGACCTCGAGGGGATCTTGTCACCTGTGGACCGAAAGGGAAAGAGGCCAATCGGAAGAGGTAGGATCCCAAAACACCGCGGTCGGCATCTTGATTATACAAACGAAACCGTCTCATCTCAGAGTGGTGCGCGCCTGTAATCCCAGCTGCTCGGGAGGCTGAGGCAGGAGGACTGCAAGTTGGAGGCCCGCCTGGGCAACTTATAGAGGCCCTGTCTCAAAATAAAAAAATAAAATAAAATAAAAGGGTTGACAATGTAGCTCAGTGGGTTCAATCCCCAGGGACCAAATAAATAAATAAATAACGGGTCTAATCCTCTGTCCTCTTCCTGCTCGGCAAACCCATCGTTTCTGAGCCTGGGCTGCCTCACTCCTTGACCCATCCCTAGATGTCAATTTAGGGAAGGGACATAGGGCCAAGAGCTGATCCAGGATGTGGATCCAGGAGCTTCGGAGGGCCTGGCCCCGTGTCCAGGGCAGCTCCCTTTCCTCCCCTCCCCCTCCCACGCCCACCCAGTCCTGGGTCAGAGAAGGAAACCTCCTTAGGGCGGTGCCTACTGCCCCGCCCAGGGTCCCCTGATCAGGTTTAAACGCACAAGGACCAGGATGGCCACCACATTCTGGGACACGGCTGGGAACGGGAAAGCCCTGCTCTCTCCCGAGGCTCCGGCTGCCCACGGCCCCAGGACTGGCGATGAGCTGCGTGGCCTCCCGGGAGGGTCCTGAGTGAGGAACCAGGTGTCCAGCCTCTGGCCGGCCTCGGCCACAGTGTGTCCTAGGAGCCATCTGTCTTCTCCCTGTGAAATGCGGTGGCCGGGATGTGACTGTTTCCCCCTCACGTCCTCCATTTCTGAGGTTCTGGACCAGAGCTGACCAGGAGGAGGTGGCGGGGGTGTGGGAGAGAGGAGGACGCGGAGGGAGGCTGCAGACAGGGGAGGCCGTTGGCAGCTCCAGGAGAGCCGGTTGCCTGCCGTGGAGAGAGCTGGCGGCGCCCGGGCTGTTCCCCTCCTCTCCCTTTGGAGTGGCCGCCGCCGTCGGGACCGGGCATCGTTTTTGGCCGCAGTCCAGGCAGGTGGCYGGCAAAGCAGGGCCAGGCTGAGGTCCAGCGGACGGCAGCCTGTGTGGCTGTCCGTGCCCCACGGCCTCTGGTCCTGCGGCCCCGAGGAGCCGGAACCTTAACTGCAGGCCTCCTGGCAGAGGCCGCGGGAGGCAGAGGCCTTATCCCGGGCCGAGTCCTGCCTGCTCTGTCCATCAGAAGGTGCCTGCTGGCCGTTCCCCTGGGTGGCTTCTCCATGGGGAAAGGATCTCTTTAAACACAGAGAAAGTGGGGGGCGGGGGGGCGGAAGGGGGCGGGGGTGTTGCTCTCAGTTTACCTTGAGGAGGGGCCTCGTGCCTTAGCCCACCTCTCTGGTTAACCTGGAAACAGGAAGATGTTTGTGGCAGGGAAAACATAAAGGTAGCCGTAAAGCAGCTTGCTGGGGCTTTGGAGCCGGGGGACGCAGGCAGGTCCCAGCTCTGCCCTCCAGTAGCTGTTTGACTCGGGGCGAGTGGTCTTCTCCGGCCTCGGTCTTCTCCTCTGTGAAATGGGTGCATGGCACGTGTCTCACCAGGCAGTCGTGAGGGCCAGGTCACCGCCGTGGGAAGCCCCCCAGTTTGCTTTAACGTGTGGGAGCAGTGTGCCGCTTCCCAGGGTGACCTCCCTGAAGAGGCCCGGGCTCTGGGGATGGTAAGAGTGGGTCTTTGTCACCAACAGGGAGGTTGCCATGGGGATGCATACCTCTCTCTGTTCAGGGTCTAAAAAAGGCTGCAAGAGGAGCCTGGCTTATGTCGTCTCTGTTCTGACATCCTGGGGCTCAGGGCCATCTTGGGCCTGAAGAGTCTTCCTGGCCTCTACCCCGCAGCTGACACTTGACTCCCATGGTCTCCCCACCCCCCGGGGAGCAACAACGTGCTCCTCCCAAGTGGGGCCACCTGGGCTTCCCAGAAGTTGTCAGTGACTGCGGGCAACCCCTGTGCCAGTGACAGTGTGTGACCGCAGCTCCTCCGGTAGCCCGGACACCTAAAAAGGCACCGTCTGCACCCACAGTGGTGCCTCTTGAGTGCGTAGTCCCCTACCCGTGGTGGCACTCTTCCCAAGTTCTGCACCAAGCATGTCCCAAGTCCAGAGCTCAGGCAGAAGGGAAGTGCCCGGGGTCTTATCTCCCCGCAGGCAGCCGCTGGAGCATCCTGAGATCTGAGGACAGGAAGCAGGTGGCCGGAGGGGCCCGCGAGGCGCAGCCAGTCCAGGCTCCAGTTTCCGAGTCCTCCCTGTTGTTCATGCTCTTGGTCCCCCCCAGGATCCACCGCCGAATCCAAGGCCGTGAATTTTTACCCCTGTGTTTTCTTCTGGGAGTTTTATAGATTTAACTCTTCTGTTGAGGCCGTTGGTTCCTGGTGAGTTGTGCACCATCCCCATCCTCGTTTGCAGAGCTCGGGACCAAACCCAGGCCTTGTGCATGCGGACCACGCGGCTGCTCTTCTGAGTGAGCTGCGGGAACGGCCCCGAGCGGGCTTCATGATCGTTTTTAATAACGATGTAAATCCAGAGCGAGACTCTCGGCTGGAGAAGAGTCACACAGAGCAACTGTGGCGAGGACAGGAGGACGAGGGACGCCACCTCCAGATGCCATGTCCGCGTCGGAGGGCGGAAAGTGACCGGCCCAAGGCCACCGGGCTGTGAACACTGGGGAGCAGCCTCGGCTGCCGCTCTTGAGCCCTGGTTGGCTGCACCTTTGTTAGTTGGCAAATAGAAAATGGAATCTTTGAATGGACCCTTACAAATCAAGTGAGAAGCCTCCGTGGCCCGGGCTCTGCTGGGTCGGCTGCTGACATTGACCGCGCTCCCGGAGCCGCTGGAGGGAGGGGACAGAACCACCTGTCCCTGAGCTCAGGGGTGGGCAATGGTAACTCCCCCGTTAGGGAAGAAGGGACTTGTGGGGTCCAGAAGGGAGATTAGGCTCTGGACTCTGCTGCTTTTGGTTTTTACAAATCAGGTTACTTAGCGGAGCACGGTGGTGCACACCTGTCTTCCCAGCTGCTGGGGAGGCTGAGGCAGGAGGATGGCAAGTTCAAAGCCAGCCTCAGAAAAAGCGAGGCCCTAAGCAACTCAGTGAGCCCCTGTCTCTAAATAAAATACAAAACAGGGCTGGGATGGGCTCAGTGGTCGTGGGCCCCTGAGTTCAGTCCCTGGTACCCCCTCATAAGTCACCTTACCTTCTTTAGGCTCCCCGTGTCCTCCAGGTCAACACCTGCGCCACAGTGGGTCACATGCCGTAACTGATGACCTGACACATCGCTGTCACAGGAGCGTCGCTGACCGAGGCTCCCTTGGGGTTGTGGTTCTGTGGGTTTTGGCAAACGTACAGTGACGTGACGTGTGTGCACCATCACGGTGCCACGCGGGACAGTTCCGCTGTCAGACATGCTCTGCGCTTCCCCTTATCATCCTCCCTGCCCCTTGACTACCTCGGATAAGAGAACCCTCTGTTCTTTATCTTTTCTTTTTCCTTCACCCGGGCGTATTCACTTAGCCTAACGCCCTCAAGGTCCCCGTGTTGTAGCGTGTTCTGGAATCCCCTCTTTTTTTGGGTTGACTAATCTCCATGTTGTGTGCACACCGCATTCTTCTTGTCCATCCACCGGCGATGGACGCCGGGTGGCTTCTGTATTTCAGCTGTCAGGACCGTGCCTCTGAGCTTGTTCCTTCTTCTCACTGAGCTGTGCTCCGTTTCCTGAATGTGCGATGATTGCTTTCCCCGTCCCCAACAGAACGATGACTTTTTGCTTCCCAGTTTCAGGACTTGGGACGAGCTGCTGTCAGCCCCTGTGCTCAGGTGTTTTGTGGCTCTAAGTGTTCGACTCGCAGTTGCTGAATCGCAGGGTCAGAGCAGCTCTGGGATTGTAAGAAACGGCCACACTGTCTTGAAGTCCCTGTGCCCTGCTGGACAGCGCCCGGCGCTCCGTCCTCAGCACCATTTGGTGTCTCCGGGGTGTCCATTTTGGCCTTTCTAATAAATGTGCGGTGACCTGGTTTCCTGGGAGCCTCTCGTTGCCCCCTGGACGTCTCTGGTCCTGTGTGTGTCTGGGACTTTTGCTGCTTCCTAATGAGGGGCTTGTTGTCCTCTTGTTGGGTTTTACAAGTGCTTTGCGCTTTCCGACGAGAGTCCTTTCCCAGCCAAAGCGCCACCTGGGGCTTGTCTTAGGTGCCCTGGACAGTGACTTTCCCGGCTGCCCAATGACTTCTTTCACATCTTGCACCTTTGACGTCTTTCCGGACCCGTCCCCACCTGGAGTCATCTGGATTTCTCCTGGGTCGGCTTCTAGGAATTCTGCAGGTCTCCATGTGACCTGCAGGTCTGGGTCATTGGAGTTCATTTCTGGGCAGGTGCAAGGTCTGCGTCCAGGTGACGGCAGCGATGGCCCTGCGTGTGGATTTCCAATTGTTCTGGCGTGACTTGTTGGGGACTCTCTCGTCCCTGCTCTGTTGACTCTGCTCTTTGTCAAGCGCCAGGTGACTGCATGTGGAGGGTCTGTGTGGCACTGTCTGTCCTTGTGCCGATGGCAGAGTTCCTACGCGGTGGCTGTGTGTGCGTCTCCATGTCAAATGCCCGTCTCTGCTGTCCCTCAGTGTTGGGCTGGCCTTCGGGTCCCTCATGGTGTGAACCTCGGATTCCGTCTGTCGAGAGCCGCGACGACTTGGGGAACTCTGGGTCAGTGGTTGGACGGAGCGGGGAGCTCTGACGCTGACAGCCCGGAACCTTCTGCCTCAGACGCGCACCGACTCCGCTCCTTCCTCCGGTTTCTTCCATCACGGTTTCTGGTTTTCCCCACAGGCCCCCTGTGTGTTGTGAGGGCCAGGCCTGGGCGTCCCTGCTCCTGTGTGGGCAGAGCTGGGTCCCTTCCCATCCCAACCTGCTCGTCAGCGCTGGGGACAGAGCGATGGCCGGGCAGGGCCACACCTGGTGGATATTAGAGATTTCTAGAAAAACAGAACCGAGAACCAATGGTGTTGGGGTGTGTGTG